AATCCACCTCTTTCTGAGATAGTCCATTCCACTGTAAAACAGCTCTTACTGTCCGAAAGATATATACTAGCACAGGCTGAGTGCCTAGTGATGAGCACAGCTGGGCTTGAATTCTAGCAAAGAACTGCACTTGCTCACCTGTAAAAAGTCTGTCTCTTGCTTCTGGTTGGCATGCACACATTATGTTCTGTAGCACAAAGTGCCTTAAAAACCACAATGATCATGAGTTTAAGCAGGACTACTGCTGGAGCTTCGGTCCATCAGAATTGCAATGGTAAGCAGATCAGCAATCATATTTTAAATGTAAGTACTACATCCCTTGACAAAGAGTAAATCATGAAATATTTCTGGACTAAAGGATATTACTAAAAAAGAAGTCCTGAAACTGTCCTGGGAAAAGACAATTCCAAACACAGCTAATTTTGCCCTTATTTGATGTGTATTCAGGTTCAGAACAAATCACCTGTCTATTCTGAGGTTTTGTGAGCTACATGGTAGTGATGATAGTTCTCTCACCTCCGTCCACGACTCTTAAGCAGTAAATTAGAGAAGCTTATTCATGAACCAGTGTGAGCTGAGATCTCATGCCCAATGTGTCCTAGACAATTGACTGCCTTGGCATGACTCCATGTTTACCTTTGTCTAGAACCCCAATCAAGTCTACAATTCATAACTCTAGGTTATTCACTGTAAACTATGTGATTCTCATACTATACCAAAATATTTTTATCTAGGTATCATAGGTGATGCTGAAGCAACCTGAAAGTTTCTTAATGCAGACAGAGCATTATGCTACCACTTCAGCTACATCTGAAGAAATCTGCTTCTTCATTTTCCTTTGACAGAAAGTTAGAGGGAACCCCATCATCATCTAGATACAAATATCTGAGTTTTGTAAAGGAGAAGAAACACTGATTGTTAATGTTCATCTGCTCTCCATAGGGTCACATATTGTAAAAGGAAAACAGCACACTGGTGACTGATTTAATAAACAAAACCTACTTCTCCTCTCCCCAATATTCTGATACCACACCAGAGAGGGACTTTCTCCAGTATGCCTATCTTGAGATGTTAAAAGGAGAAACAATATTGACTTCTGTGTTCTTCCCACCTCCACAGCGTCACCATGATGCAAACGGTAAACATCACGTTGGTGGACAGCTTCATACTCACAGGGCTAACAGACCTTCCTCAGGTGGAAATTGCCCTCTTTGTGATCTTCTGTGCTGTCTATGCCACCACTCTGGTGGGGAATTTGGGCATGATTCTCTTAATCAGGTCCGGCCCACAACTGCAAACCCCAATGTACTTCTTACTTGGCAACCTGTCTTTCTTGGACATCTGTTACTCCTCATCCGTCACCCCAAAGTTCCTAAGCAATCTTTTAAAGGAGAAGAAAGTAATTTCTTTTGCTGATTGTTTTACTCAGCTTTTCTTTTATGGTGTATTTGCCACCACTGAGTGTTACCTGCTGGCAGTGATGGCCTATGACCGCTACGTGGCTATCTGCAACCCACTGCTCTACTTAATCACCATGTCCCAAAGAAAGTGCATTGAGCTAGTTGCTCTTTCCTATGCAGCTGGTACAGTAAATGCTTTGGTGCACACTGTTGCTGCATCAAGACTATCCTTCTGTGGACCAAACATCATTAATAATTTTTACTGTGAAATTCCTCCCCTACTGGAGCTGGCCTGCTCAGACATCAGTCTCAATGAAATCTTGCTCTTTATCTTTGTTGGGTTCAATATAACAATAACCATAACAATCGTTCTCACCTCTTACACCTACATCCTGGTCACTATTTTAAAGATAAAGTCCACTAAGAGCCAACGGAAAGCCTTTTCCACCTGCACATCTCACCTCATGGTCATCACCATCTTTTTTGGCAGTGCTAGCTTCATGTATGCACGTCCCAGTTCTAGGCAAAATCACCACCTTGACAAAATGGCTTCTGTCTTCTATGTAGTGGTGACTCCCATGCTGAACCCCTTGATCTACAGCCTGAGGAACCAGGAAGTCAGGAGTGCCTTCCGCAAAATCCTGGGGACAAAAGCTGCTTCTCAGTCTAGGATGATACCTTCCATACAAGTTAGACCTTCTCCAGATTGCAGGAGATAGCACTACACGTAAAAGGATGGTCCACAACATTTTGTCTCATAACATGCAAATAAAACTGCTCTGCTGTTCGTTTATTCCAACACTTACAGTTAAGCACGTGTAGCTGCTGCTCTACCAGCATGCCAGCAAATCCTCCTCTTCTTCAACAATGCCTTTGGAATATTGCTACATCATGGTATAGCAACATTCAAAGCTGCAAGATTTTCTTGGGGCAAGTGTCTCGATACACACTTGTAGATTACTTCTCCATGTTCCAGGAATAAGCTCATCCAGAACGTGAACGACTATGAGAACTTTAATTATGCCAAGGTCAGGGTTTCCCATGGTGACCCTTGCTCTATCCTTCCAGAGGACAGACTGCTGTCTGCCTGGGAGAGCTAGCCCCAAACTAGCATGCTGTTCACAATACTCAGGGACACAGCAATACTAACATCTGTTCATTTGGTCTCGCTAGCGGAGTGTCCTCGTAAGGTACACAGAGAGCAACAGAAATGAGAACACCACTTTGCCAGAAATGGAGCTTTAGTCATAAGTATAGCAAGTGGTACTTTAACATTAAACTGTGAAGGCAACCCCAGAGATGGGGTCTAGAGAGAGTGTAAATATTTTGGCTGGCAGAGGGTGGGCGATTTCAGTGAGTGGCAACTGAAATGCTTGTGTGTGAGTGAGAGAGAGGATATATTTCCATCTTTATAGTCCTCACACATTTTCCTCCAAGTAATACACATGCACACCCTTAAGATATGTACTTTTTGAACAATTATCCACACACACCTACATGCCACCACTAGAGTGATCCTGTTCTGGGCAAAAGGAAGGAAACAGCCATACCTTCCTTACTCAGACTCTGCCTGCCTGCACTATGAAAGTTAGGTGCATTGAATAAAGATCCTGATGCTTCATTAAATGTAACTTGATATACAAAAAGTTATGTTTCTCAAATGTTCTTTCTGGGTATGGGGGCAACTGCAATTTGGCCTCCATTGACTTCACTGGGTAAATATTAGACAAATGTTTCATATTGTCTTGTAAGCATGTGCTTGGGATCTGAGGTACTTCAGGGAGCATCAAGATTTCCCCACTAGTCATAATGAAAGCCAAGTTAACATAATTGTTTTTCATTATGGTAAAAAAAAAAAAAGCCCTAGAGCCACGAAGCGTTGGAGTATATCTGGCTTCCTTCAAACCACTAGATGGATTTTGCTATTGGTTTCACAAGGATTCAGGTTCACTTGAATTCAGGTGAGAAATCGTCTTGAAAGAAACAGAATGCTTTGAACTATTGAAGGCACAATGAAGTTTCAAGAAAGAGAGTAAGTTCAGGAGCATTTTCTCAGTTTATGTGAAAAAAGAATTGTGGTTATTAGTGCAACTATCTGACTGCTGCTTTATGCTGCTATTGCCTGAATATGCTTTAGACACAAACACACACACATCATTCCAACCGCAGATCTTAACAAGTTTTCTCTCTCTTCATTTTGGCAAATAAGGAAAAAGGAGAACGGTAGGGAACTTGAAAGATGCATTCACTGGTGAAATCTCTGCAGATACAGCATAGCGTCAGCAAGTAATTCTCAAAACAGGAAAGATTTAGGGCAGCCTAACTCAAGGTGGTGCCCATCAGAATTTTAGATTGCAGCTCTCACCATCCCTGATCATTGAACATGTAGGCTGGAAATGACGATAGTTGAAGAATATCTGGAGGGCCTCAGGTTTGGAAAGGCTGCTCTAAGCAATAGTATTCAGTCTTCTTACTGGTCAAAATGCCTTTTCATTTTGATGGTCTGTGAGGAACTATGTACATCTGCATTGAAATGGAAGGCACACTTTGGTTACGAGGGCTCTATGTACATGGTCGAAGTCTGCAGTCAACTGGCTTCTTGGCTGTTTCTTCCTCTTTGAGACTTTGCATATACAGTACTTGTATTTTGGTTGTATAATAACACATGACTCTGCAATGTCTAACATTCCTACAAAAACCTAGTAGGCAGCAATCTGTTATTATATTTCATTGCAGCTTATCTTGCTTATAACCAAAGCCCATTCAAACACTGTTCACCATCAATGTATGTCCAGTATATTTAGGAAATGATATCGATGTGTTAATGCTGTACAATCATACAGGATGTTTTTCACCGTGTGGGCACATCTATCAGAACAAAAGCTATTTCCGAGGAATAGTCCCATCTCTCCGCCTTCTCCAACACTTTGATACAACATCAGAGAGGAATTTGGGCCTTTTTCAGTATTTTAGTTCTTGGGATTCTAAAAGAAAAAGCAATGCTGACTTCTGTGTTCTTCCCATCTCCACAGCGTCACCGTGATGCAAACAGGAAACAACACGTTGGTGAACATCTTCCTACTCACAGGGCTAACAGACCTTCCTCAGGTGGAAATTGCCCTCTTTGTGATCTTCTGTGCTGTCTATGCCACCACTCTGGTGGGGAATCTGGGCATGATTCTCTTAATCAGGTCCACCTCACAACTTCACACCCCCATGTACTTCTTACTTGGCAACCTGTCTTTCTTGGACATCTGTTACTCCTCATCTGTCACCCCAAAGTTCCTAACCAATCTCTTAAAAGTTAAAAAAGAAATTTCTTTTGCTGGTTGTTTTACTCAGCTTTTCTTTTATGGTGCATTTGGCACCACTGAGGGTTACCTGCTGGCAGTGATGGCCTATGACCGCTATGTGGCTATCTGCAACCCACTGCTCTACTTAATCACCATGTCCCAAAGAAAGTGTATGCAGCTAGTAGGTCTTTCCTATGCAGCTGGGACAGTAAATGCTTTGGTGCACACTGTTGCTGCATCAAGGCTATCGTTTTGTGGACCAAACGTCATTAATAATTTTTACTGTGAAATTCCTCCCATACTGGAGCTGGCCAGCTCAGACATTAGTCTCAATGAAATTTTGCTCTTTGTCTTTGTTGGGTTCAATATAATAATAACCATTACAATTGTTCTCACCTCTTACACCTACATCCTGGTCACTATTTTAAAAGTCGATTCCACTAAGAGCCGAAGAAAAGCCTTTTCCACCTGCACATCTCACCTCATGGTTGTCACCATTTTCTATGGCTCTGTTAGCTTCATGTATACACGTCCCAGTTCTAGGCAAAATCACCACCTTGATAAAATAGCCTCTGTGTTCTATATAGTGGTGACTCCCATGCTGAACCCTTTGATCTACAGTCTGAGGAACCAGGAAGTCAGGAGCGCCTTCCGAAAAATCCTAGGAAGAAAAGCTGCTTTTCAGTCTAGGATGATGCCTTCCATACAAGTTAGACCTTCTCCAGATCATAGGAGATAACACTTCAGGTAAAAGCAGCTCTGATAAAATATGGTCCATAATTTTTAGTCTCATAATATGCAAATAAAACTATTCTGCTGTGCAAAAAGATCATTAGAATTCAAAGCCAACTTTAAATCCTCAGATGAAATAGTTTCTCTGGCTAAAATCTGATATAGAATTTTATATGATATTCTAGCCACACTTGAGGGAGAAATCTAAGAATGAATAAGCATTACACCAAGGCTTTCCAACACTATGTTGTCAGCAGTTGGAACATCTCCAGAAGTAACCAAGCTGGAAAGATAAATGAATCAAAGGCTTCTGAATGTGGAGAACAGGAAAAGGGGTCTTCCTTGAACTGAGATTAGCAGAGCAATTGCAAACCGAAACCGAGAGTGTACTTGAATCCAGTTGCACCATGGGACAGCTAACATTTTCTGACAATGAACTCCTTCTCTGAATGTTGATCCTTATATAAGCAAGACAGCAACATCCATGCACAAGAATGAGTCATCGAAAATCAACAAGGCACTGCAGCATCTGACCAAGTGTTGCGGGGGACGTGCCATTTCCCATGCTGATATAAAATGTGATAAGTTGGACTCTAACAGACCCAACACCATCCACCTAACTCCTGCAGGGAATGAGTGCTGGATAGCAGATGTGTTTTAGGACATCTCCCATTGCTTGCAGTTGTAGGTGGTGAGGCATCTTAACCGTCTGGTGGTTAAGGCATTGAGTTGAATACTAGCCTTCAAGCGTGGGGTGATGTGGCGCATCATCCACTATGAACCAGTGGTGTTTTCAGGGTACCCTGTTGAAGGAGTCTCGGTGGATGTTCCTGTCCTGAAGCCAAGTGTGTGGCAGATGGGCCATAGGGCCAGTGGCAGCCTTAGGATGGCTGACTCAGTAGATCGACATCTTGTGGAGGCTACAATCTTGGCACGACCCTGCAGCTGTTCCAGTCCTCCAGCAGGAGGTTGGAATGGATACACCCAGTGCCTGAGACAAAATTCTTCCTACACTCTGTAATCAATAAAGTTGTGGCCATTATTAATCCAGATTGTTGTCTGCCTGAGTTATTGATCATATATTACATATAGACACTGACATGGGGTGGGCGGCACTGTGCCTGGGGCCACACTAAAAATGCACACCACATGTTTTTGTGGACAGAATCTCTGTGCCTTTTAAAAGCTGCATAACAGGCCCAGGACAAGAGATGAGCCTCTTTCCATTATTGCATCTTTAAGTGGAGGCTCATATGGTCCGATTCACATGAGGAAACACCAGGTGAGAGAATTACAGGGATATATGGACAAGCTATGGACATTTCTGGACAAGCTATGGACAATTCTATTTCTATGCAACTTTTGCCACAAAAGAGTGTTACCTCCTGGCTGCTGTGGCATATACATGGTCATCTGCAGTCCACTCATCTACACAGTCACCGTGTCTCAGAAGGTTTGTGTTTTTCTGGTGGCTGGTTCATACATTGCCAGCTCTGTCTGTTCCCTGATACACAAAGGTTGTTTGACTCATTTATCGTTTTGTAGTCCTAATGTCACTGATCATTTTTACTGTGAAAGTTCTCCACTCTTTCAACTTTCATGTTCTGATACAAGTGTCAATGAGTTTGTGATGTTTGCATATGTTAGCTTTAAGCTGAAAAGCACCCATCTGACAGCCCTTTGACAGTGACACCCTTCTATCATTGTCACTATTTTGAGAATCCGCTCAGCTGAGGGCAGGCACAAAGCCTTCTCCACCTGCTCCTCTCACCTGCTGGCTGTCACCATCCTTCTAGCCCCTTTGGGAATTAGATTGATCGGCTGTGGTACTTAGTGCTATATGAGTTATTATTACCTTATATACCAAATGTACCACTTCTCAAGCGGTCTTGAGGCATCTGATTAAAATCTGCTTTGAGCTTAAAAAATTATATTTGTAAATATATTTTTCTCTCATGCCAGGGAGAAGACCAGCTTGAATACTCTGGCAGCTGTTCAAGGGCCCCACTGCTATAAATAGCAGTATTTCAGGGTTGTAAAAGTATTTCAAGGTTGTAAAAGGAAATTAGAGCCAGAGAGCAAAAGGTCACACTGACCAGAATACAATCAAGCTGTAAAAACACAATTAAGAACTGGTAAATAGTGAAATTTATTGTTTAACAGAAGACTCGAGCCATAAGGTTAAAGGTTAAATGGAAGAAACAGCTGCTGGTTAGGGAAAATGGTTTCTTTATAGAACTAAGAGAACTTAGCTTTACTAAGTTCCTTCTAATTTGAAAAGGCCTTTCCTTCTAAAAATCTATCTATGTTATGTATGAAATATATTGGCTTAAATGTAATTATGCAAAGGATTTAGAAAGTAAGAAATGTTAGATTCTTATGTTAGATTCCTATTATGGTGGGTGAGAAGGTGAACTCAAGATCTATTTAATATAAAAAAATTAGAAACCATGCACCATCTGCTTTAGCCATCTGGTTTGCGGTGAATAGGGCAACAGGGGCCAAAGGTTATCTGGTAATTGAGGTGCCTGGTCGAGGTAAATGTAAGATATATGGCTACTTGTCTGCCATTTATGGATACAAGGAAATATAGCTTTTTGTCTCCCATAAAAGGAAATAGGAAATGGGTGTATCTTTTATGATTGGTTCTAGCAAACAACCAATAGGAATTTCAACCAGGCTGATTGGACAGAGGCAGCCAAAGGAGGAGCAGGGGGCTGGGCTGAGGAAATATAAGTGCTGGCCATCAGGGCTGGAGTAGGCAGAGCTTTGGTATCCATATACCACTGTGTCTCTCATTTATTTGTCTGACAAATAAATTATTATTTTAATTTCTCTATTGCTGCGTTGAATATTTCATTCCAGCTAAGCGTTAACCACAAGCAAGGTGCTACAGTCTTTCAGAGGGATGTATGAGGGATTTTAATTTGGCTGCAATCAGCTTCACTACATGACTATGAGGTCAATTTTAGATATTTTCTTGTTTGTTCTTGGGATGTGAGGTACTTCAGGGAGCATTAAGATTTCCCCAGTGATCAAAAGAAAGTGAAGGCAACATCATTGTTTGCTGTGACAATAAAAAGCCCTAGAGTCATGTAGCACAGAAATAGATTTGGCTTTCTTCACATCACTAGAAGCATTTTGCTATTGGTTTCACAAGTCAATGGTTCACCTGCACCGAAGACTCAGCTTGAAAGTGTCAGAAAGCTTCAAGCTATTAAAGACACAACTGAACTTTGAGGAAGACAGTAAGTTCAGATATATTTTTTCAGTCATGTGAGAAGGCCATTGTGACACTAGCACAGCTGTTTTGCTGCCACTGCATATTAGTATTGCTGGAATATGCTTTAGCCATACAAAATTTTTCTCTAGCAACAAGTTTTGTGTTTGGGGAAATAAGAAAGGGTGAATCCAACACAATGGCTGAAACTAATTGTAGCTGTAGCCCAACAATATTTGGAGGCATGTGGTTATGAGGGCTGTATATTACATGGTCAGAGTCAGCAGAATACAGGTGTCATAATCCTGGAGTTTCTTCTTTAAGACTTTGTGTAGATTATGCTTCTGTTCATGTTTCCTTCCGTATCTTCAGTTATTTTTCACTTCAGTTTACTTTGCTGAAAAGCATGACCCATTCAAAACATTGTTCTCATATCTTTTGCTTTTTCAATAAAGCACCAGCAGAGGTACCCTCTCCACTATGCTTGTATCCCTGGGAGCCTAAAAGAACAAGCAATGCTGACTTGTGTGTTCTTCCCCTCTCCACAGCGTCACCGTGATGCAAACAGGAAACAACACGTTGGTGAACATCTTCCTACTCACAGGGCTAACAGACCTTCCTCAGGTGGAAATTGCCCTCTTTGTGATCTTCTGTGCTGTCTATGCCACCACCCTGGTGGGGAATTTGGGCATGATTCTCTTAATCAGGTCCGGCCCACAACTGCAAACCCCAATGTACTTCTTACTTGGCAACCTGTCTTTCTTGGACATCTGTTACTCCTCATCCGTCACCCCAAAGTTCCTAAGCAATCTCTTAAAGGAGAAGAAAGTAATTTCTTTTGCCAGTTGTTTTACTCAGCTTTTCTTTTATGGTGTATTTGTCACCACTGAGTGTTACCTGCTGGCAGTGATGGCCTATGACCGCTATGTGGCTATCTGCAACCCATTGCTCTACTTAATCATCATGTCCCAAAGAAAGTGCATTGTGCTAGTTGCTCTTTCCTATGCAGCTGGAACAATAAATGCTTTGGTGCACACTGTTGCTGCATCAAGATTATCCTTTTGTGGTCCAAACATCATTCAGAATTTTTACTGTGAACTTCCTCCCATTCTGCAGCTGTCCTGCTCAGACATTAGTCTCAATGAAATTTTGATATTCGTCTTCACTGGGTTCAATATTATAGCAACCACTTCGACTATTCTATTTTCTTACACTTATGTTCTGCTCACTGTTTTAAAGACCCGCTGTGCTAGGAGCCGAAGAAAAGCCTTCTCCACCTGCACATCTCACCTCATGGTTGTCACCATTTTTTATGGATTTGGCAGCTTCATGTATGCAAGACCCAGTTCTAGGCAGAACCACCACCTTGACAAAATAGCCTCTGTGTTCTATGTAGTGGTGACTCCCATGCTGAACCCTTTGATCTACAGTCTGAGGAACCAGGAGGTTAAAAGTGCCTTCCGAAAAACCCTGGGAAGAATAATTGTGTTTTTCCAAAGGTTTTTTATAAAATAGATGGTGGCCCCTACTTCCAGGACTTTTGCTTTCCTTTCAACATTTCTACATGTTGTAATTTAAGAAAGGGACGGGCAAGAACTTTGGGCCAGGTTGTTTGACTCATTTATTTTTCTGTGACCCTAATGCCATTGGTCATTTTAACTTGGAAGGTACCCCACTCTTACAGCTTTCCTGTTCCGATAAAAGTGTCAATAAATGTGTTGGGTTTGCATTTGTTCGCTTAAACCTGATAAGCACCCATTTGACAGCCCTTAACTCTTATGCTTCTACCATTATCACTATTTTGAGAATCCACTCAGCTGAGGGCAGGCAGAAAGCCTTCTCCACCTGCTGCTCTCACCTGCTGGCTGTCATCATCCTTTATGGCAGCTTGATCTTTATGTATCTCCAACCTAATACATCAACAAAGGGAAACAAAGTGGCCTCTCTGCTGTATGCTGTCGTAATCCCCATGCTAAACCCTCTCATTTACAGCTTGAGGAATAAGGAAGTGAAGATTGCTTTGATACGTGTATTTCCTAAAGATGTTAATGATTCGTATTTAGATAAAACTTTGTTTATGGGCTGCTGGGTGATTGCAGCTGGGTAGCTGGCTGATGGAACACTAACGTGGGGGGAGGTCTGACGTGCAGCGTAAATTAATAATGCAGAGTTTTTAATTGAAATAATAAGAGTGTGTAGAATACTTACAGAAAATGAAATATCAGGCCTTGACCATTGGCTCAGGTACAGAAGAGATCCTATTACCGATTGGTATAAATCTGGTTGATCAAACAAAACATCACTTTCAGTCTTTTGAAAATCTACAGTCATAGGGGTTTGCACAGCATTACAATCCTGCATTTCTAGCTGTTCAAGCAGACCTTTAATCTTTTTTTCTTGGCATATTAAGAAACTTCCATCTGCTTCTCTGCATATTTGGACCCCTAAATAGTGACTCATTGGTCCTAGGTCTTTCAGTTTGAAATGTTTTTTCCAACTGATTTGCTATCTTTTGAATTTTACCTGTGGAACTACCTGCCGCCATCAAGTCATCTACAAAGATCAAAACCAATATGTAATTGTCACCTGATCCTCTTGTATACAAGTAAGGGTCAGCAATGCTCCTTTTAAATCCAAGATTTAAGAGTTGTGTGTTTATGCAATCGTTCCAGCATTTAGCACTTTGCCGAAGACCATAGACAGCTTTGTCTAATTTCCACACCAAATCATTCCTCTCCTCAAACCCTGGGGGTTGTCACATGTATATCACCTGGTCCAGAGGAGCATTTAGATATGCAGAAGTAATATCATAATGACTCACTTCCAATTTCTTGTCAGCTGCAAGAGACAAAACAAGCCTCACTGATTCTGCCTTGGCAGTGGGCGCAAAAAGCTCATCATAGTGAATTCCTGGCTTTTGTGCAAAACCTTTTGCTACCAGTCTAGCTTTAAAACGTGTGTCACCAGACACCTGAGTCTTCCTTTTAAAGACCCACCTGCTAGACATTAACTTTTCACCTGGTGGCAATTTGGCTAGTGTGTAAACCTTATTTTCTTTGAATGATCCCAACTCTTCTTTCATGGCGTCAAACCACTGGGTTTGTTCCTTAGAAGGTAGTTTCAGAACTTGAGCAAAGTCCTGTGGCTCTGTAAAATTAACATGACACACTTTTGTTGCGCCAAAAGTCAATTTATCAGGGGGAATATCCTTGGGAGTCCGTGTGGACCTCCTAGGAATAACCACTGGGCTTTCCTTCTCTTGTTGCTCCTCCAGTTCATCATTTTGTTGTTCCTCTGATTCACTGCTTGTGGCACTTTGCAAAGTGTCAGTGTCCGAGGGCAAATTTTCCCCACTTTCTAGCCTTTCCTCAGCAGCTGGCTGCCTGAGAGGCTCCTGTGGCTGTACTGAGAGAGGAATTAAAATACTAGGATTGGCATGAACCTGTTCCCACCTATCCTGTTCAGCAAATTCAGCATTTTATGAAATGACTACTGGGCTACGTCCCAAAGCAAAATGATAATGCTAGAATAGCCCTGATAGCCAATGAAATGTAGCTTTCCGGTTTTAGGCTCACCTTTGCGTCTCAGAGACTTGGGGATATGAACAAAAGCCCAACTCCCCCACACATGTAAACCTGCGTAATCCGGTTCCTTCCCAAAAAGCATTCTGTAGGGAATATCACCTGTGGCAGTGGTGAAAGTACGGTTCACTAAAAAATTGGCAGTCAAGAGGGCTTCTTCCCAGAGCTTTGCATCATTTTGCAATCCAGCATCAGTTAACAAGCTGTCCTTTACAATTTGTATGACACCCACATGTCTCTCTGCAACTCCATTTTGCCAGGGACTATTTGGACATGTGAGACGATGCGTTATTCCATGGCGTTTAAGCCATGCCTGGAAATGATTACAGTAGTACCTTGGGTTACATACGCTTCAGGTTACATACGCTTCAGGTTACAGACTCTGCTAACCCTGAAATAGTGCTTCAGGTTAAGAACTTTGCTTCAGGATGAGAACAGAAATCATGCTCTGGTGGCGCAGCAGCAGCAGCAGCAGGAGGAGGCCCCATTAGCTAAAGTAGTGCTTCAGGTTAAGAACAGTTTCAAGTTAAGTACAGACCTCCGGAACGAATTAAGTACTTAACCCGAGGTACCACTGTACTTAAATATTCACCTCCTCGGTCGGTTTGGAGTTGAATAAGTGGCCTTTGAAAGCGTCTTTCTGCCCATACCTTCCAGGACTTAAAAGCATCAGCACATTCTGATTTGTTTCTCAATAGATATAGCCATGAATACCTTGTTTTATCATCCACAAAAATTAGGCCATATCTAGATTCTCCCTCACTCTCTGGAAAAGGACCAATTAAGTCAGAATGAACAAGTTGCAAAGCATGTGTAGAAATTCTATCACTTCTACCTGGTATTGGCTGCAACTTTGATTTTGCTTGCTTGCAAATAGCACAATCAAGGTATATGCTACACTGGTTAACATTTAAATCTTTACATTTTTTTTTGCATGTTCTAGATATTTGAAACTTGCATGCCCCATTTTTCTGTGCAAAGCATGGATGCAGTTTTTATGTGAGCAATTAGAATTTTTCTTACATAGTTCAGTTATTAATGCATCATTTTTTCCAGCTATAGGTCTCTCTGTGACCCCATCACTGGGCAGAAAATGCTGTAAAGGGTACAAGCCATCCACCATTTTTGTAGATGCAATTACCTTGCCCTGCTTCTTAATAAAACATTCATCACCCTCAAAAATAAATTCAAAACCAACATTGGTAAGGCATGAAATTGACAAAAAAGAAAATTCTAGTTCTTCAACAAACAATATATTCCTCAATTCTGCATCGATCCCATCTCCTCCTGAGAATCTGGGTTTCTGGTTAGCAGGGCGACTCAAACTCTTCTGGTCTGCCTTCTCACTCAGCTTTTCCATGCGCTTTTCAGATTCCTCCTATAGACGGGTTGTTACATACGCCATCGATAAATCTTCTTGCCTCATGCTTTCAAGAGAGGCTATCACAATATTAAACCTTGGTGGGAGACTGGATAGTGGGATATAGACTTGATCCAGGTCTGGAAATCTTTTACCTCTCCTTTGCAACAGGAGGAATAACATGTGCAAAGTCTGGAGGTGTGTAGTTAAACATCCACCTTCAGGTAGCACAGTTCTATGCAGTCTCCTAGTTAGTCCAGTTATTGAACCAACACTGTCAGACAGGTGCATCTGACATAGATGATCCCAATATTGTTTGGCAGAGTCCAAATCTGCAATGTGCAGGACCTGTGGTTCCTCTGGAGCCAACAAAATGTGCTCTCTGGCTCTATCATCCTCTTCACGTTCCTGCTCAGAGGGTTGTGGATTCAAACCAGTTTCCACACAGTGCCGAAGTCTATCACATTTTAGAACCAGTTCAAGCTTGAGAGCCCAAGTCAGGTAGTTCTTACCATTCAGACGTTCCATCTGGGCAGTGTTGCCAAGATTAATAAACTGCGCAGGTTGCTGAGCTGACATGGCTTCTGCTCCTTGCTGCACCGGGTCTGCTTCTTCCGTATGCGGCCTCACCACTGGACCTTCAATCCCTTCGAGGTCCTCACCAACAATCCTGACTTGGCTCCAGACACACTGATCAGATGTTTGGAAGCTGTGGCTGGCTGGTTACATGGGAGCCAGTTGAAGTTAAATTCTTCAAAGACAGAGGTCCTTTGGCTGGGTCGGAATGATATGGGATTGGGGGGCAACTCCCATCTCTTGCGGGGGCATAATTAGTGCCAGCACTGTTTGTTAAGAGTTTGGGTGTAATCTTCAACACCTCCCTTTCTATGGAGGCACAGATTGCAGCTATAACAAAGGCGGCATTTTTTCATCTCTGCCAAGCTAAGCAGTTGGCTCCTTACCTCTCTTGCCCTGACCTAGCCACTGTGATCCACATGATGGTCACCTCCAGGCTTGATTATTGTAACTCACTCTATGTGGGGCTGCCCTTGAGGCTGACCCAGAAACTCCAGTGGGTGCAGAATGCTGCGGCGAGACTCCTTACGGGGTCCTCGCCATGGGATCACATTCACCCAGTGCTATACCAGCTGCACTGGCTCCTGGTGGAGTACGGGATCAGGTTTAAGGTGCTGGTTTTAACCTTTAAAGCCCTATACAGCCTAAGACCCTTGTACCTACGGGACCGCCTCTCCTGGTATGTCCCACGGAGGACCTTACAGTCTTCAAATAAAAACATCTTGGAGATCTCGGGCCACAGGGAGGTTAGGCTGGCTTCAACCAGAGCCAGGGCTTTTTCGGCCGTGGCCCCGATCTGGTGGAACGATCTGTCACAAGAGACTAGGGCCCTGCGGGACTTGACATCTTTCCGCAGGGCCTGCAAGACAAAGCTGTTCCACCAGGCCTTTGGCCAAGGCACAGTCTGACCCCTCCTTTGGTAATCCTCATAGTACTCTAGCCCAATGGCTGCCATTAATTTGATTCTGAATTGATTTAAGTATGTATTTCAATTAATTGACTGTGATTTTATGTAAACTGTGCTATTTTTACTGTTGTTAGCCGCTCTGAGCCTGGCTTTGGCTGGGGAGGGCGGGATATAAATAAATTATTATTATTATTATTATTACTGCTACCTTATATATCAAAATGTACAATTTCTCAAGCGGTCTTTAAAATGTGTGAGGGATTTTATATTGGCTCCCATTAGTTTCACTACATGACTATGAGGTCAATTTTAGATATTTTCTTGTATGTTCTTGGGACGTGAGGTACTTAAGGGAGCATTAAGATTTCCCCAATGATCCCAAAGAAGGCAACATCATTGTTTGCTGTGACAATAAAAAGCCCCAGAGTCATATAGAACACAAATAGATGTGGCTTTCTTCACATCACTAGAATCATTTTGCTGTTGGTTTCAATAGTCAGTGGTTCACCTGCACCGAAGACTCAGCTTGAAAGAGTCAGAAAGCTTCAAGCTATTGATGACAAAACTGAACTTTGAGGAAGACAGTAAGTTCAGACGTATTTTTTCAGTCATGTGAGAAGGCCATTGTGACACTAGCACAACTGTTTTGCTGCCACTGCATATTAGTATTACTGGAATATGCTATAGCCATGTGTAATATTTCACTAGCAACAAGTTATTTTTTTTCTGGAAATAAGAAATGGTGAACCATTTGGATCCTTAGAGAAGCATTAATTGATGTACCCTCTGCAGATATAACATGCATGATGGTGTACAAAAGCACCTGGAATTAATTCTCAACAAAAGACAGTTATAGCACAATTTTCCCCAAGTTGCTACCCACACGGTGTTTTAGACTACAGCTCCCATCATCCCTGATAATTAAACACAATAGGTGAAACTAATTGTAGCTGTAGCCCAACAATATTTGGAGGCATGTGGTGATGAAGGCTCTGTATTACGTGGTCAGAGTCAGCAGAATACAGGTGTCATAATCCTGGAGTTTCTTCTTTAAGACTTTGTGTAGATTATGCTTGGGTACTTGTCTCCTTCGGGGAAGTTGGCTGCTCTGCTACGCCTCCATTCTGGTAGCCACTGATATGCTCTGAGACACCTATGATACAGACATTGGGTCCTTCATTGTATATCACTGTGCTTTGTATAACACTCCTGCGTGCCTATAAAAACCTTGCTGAAAATTATCTTCAGTTATTTTTCACTTCAGTTTACTTGACTGAAAACTATAACCCATTCAAAACATTGTTCTCATATCTTTTGCTTTTTTAAGAAAGCACCAGAAGAGGCACCTTCCCCACTATGCTTGTGTCAGTCTTTTAGTCCCTGGGAGTCTAAAAGAACAAGCAATGCTGACTTCTGTGTTCTTCCCCTCTCCACAGCGTCACCGTGATGCAAACGGTAAACATCACGTTGGTGGACAGCTTCCTACTCACAGGGTTAACAGACCTTCCTCAGGTGGAAATTGCCCTCTTTGTGATCTTCTGTGCTGTCTATGCCACCACCCTGGTGGGGAATTTGGGCATGATTCTCTTAATCAGGTCCGGCCCACAACTGCAAACCCCAATGTACTTCTTACTTGGCAACCTGTCTATCTTGGACATCTGTTACTCCTCATCCGTCACCCCAAAGTTCCTAAGCAATCTCTTAAAGGAGAAGAAAGTAATTTCTTTTGCCGGTTGTTTTACTCAGCTTTTCTTTTATGCTGTATTTGCCACCACTGAGTGTTACCTGCTGGCAGTGATGGCCTATGACCGCTACGTGGCTATCTGCAACCCACTGCTCTACTTAATCACCATGTCCCAAAGAAAGTGCATTGAGTTAGTTGCTCTTTCCTATGCAGCTGGAACAATAAATGCTTTGGTGCACACCATTGCTGCATCAAGGCTATCCTTTTGTGGTCCAAACATCATTCAGAATTTTTACTGTGAAATTCCTCCCATTCTGCAGCTGTCCTGCTCAGACATTAGTCTCAATGAAATTTTGATGTTCGTCTTTGTTGGGTTCAATATTATAGCAACCACTTCGACTATTCTCTTTTCTTACACTTATGTTCTGGTCACTGTTTTAAAGACCCACTGTGCTAGGAGCCGGAAAAAAGCCTTTTCCACCTGCACATCTCACCTCATGGTTGTCACCATTTTTTATGGATTTGGTAGCCTCATGTATATAAGACCTAGTTCTAGGCAAACCCACCACCTTGACAAAATAGCCTCTGTGTTCTATGTAGTGGTGACTCCCATGCTGAACCCTTTGATCTACAGTCTGAGGAACCAGGAAGTCAGGAGTGCCTTCCGAAAAGTCCTGGGAAGAAATCTTACATTTTACAAAAGCTTTTTTATAAAATAGATTCTGCCACCTGCTTCCAGGACTTTTGCTTTACTTACAACATCTGTAACTTAAGACAGGAATGGGGAGCCACTTTCGGCCGGAATATGCTATCTCCCATCAAAGCAATTATAATTAAGAGAGTTAATATGGATAGACAGTAAACGACTTACTGGGAACTCATGGATTCCACAGGTGCGGGGCGGTGGGGGCGGGGGGACGACGGACCCAAACTGAAACTAATGGAAAACCTAAGGAGCCAATTTGTGGATTGGTTGCAATATCATCGGTTAAACATTATGTTTAAATTAGATAGAAAGAATGGATTTTTGGATTAAAGCTCACCTTCTTAAAAAGAACTATTGCAAAATAGGGATAAACCTTTGTCTAATATGTATAATCTTCTATTAGAATGGGAAACAAAAGATGAGCTTCTTAAAACTTCAGTGACACACTGGGCAATAGATATAGCACACAACATAGATCTTAACCTCTGGGAGAAACTCTGGAAAAGCGACCTGAAATTTACAGCATGCTATTCATTGAAAGAGAACTATTTGAAAATGATTCATAGATGGTACTTAACTCTGAGTAGGTTGGATAAGATTTATAAAACAGAATCAAGTTGAGTGTTGGAAGTGTAAAGAAGTGGAGGGAACGTTCTTCCACATGTGGTGGAGATGTAAAAAGGTAAAAGAGTATTGGGGAATGATTTATAATGAATTGGAAAAAATGTTCAAAACTACTTTCCCCAAAAAAGCAGGTCCTTTTTGTTGGGGATAACCCAGACTGAAATTCCCAGGTGTCAGAAAAAGTTATTTATGTATGCAACAACTGCGGCCCATGTTTTGTTAGCCTCAAAATGGAAAGTGAGCGAGGTCCCAACTAAAGAGGATTGGCAACTGAAGTTGACAGAATATGCACAACTTGCAGATTTAACTTTCCGATTTTACCCTTTACCTTTAACATATAGAATAAGAGAGCAAGAAGAACATATTTTTAAAGAAGATTGGAAAAAACTGTATACAACTGAAAATGCTGGCTGCATTAAGATAAATTCAACAAATAATTTTTGATGTATGTAACAGTGGAAAATTGATTTGAATTGTTATAGTAAAATATGCAGAGATGTATGATATGTAAAATGAACCATGGAAAGAGAAGAACGGAAGTCATTGAATATTCTTAAGTTTGTAAAATGTTTATTTGAAATTGTAAAACAGAAAATTTAATTAAAATTATTACAAAAAATAAAAAATAAAGTATTTGCATTTATCCTGATACGGCTTCTTGCAATAAGCTTTGGCTGCATATCTGGCATTTAGCTGCTAGATCATACATTGCTGAGTAACCTGTGAGCCTGGGGCTCCAAAGACAGTGAGTGGACTGCTTGACTATAGTCTCTGTGAATCTCAAGGATGTTCAGAAGCAGCCTGTGCTTCTCCTGGCTCAGTATTGGGGGACCACAGGTGTGGTAGGAGTGCTACTGGCAGGGTTCATATTCCCTGGGTTATTTTGGGACTGTTCTAAAGAATTCCACAACTTCTTTACGTTGCTTCAAGGAAAGATACCAATATCAAGGTTGGGGGCAGGTATGCTTTGGTGAGAGAACCCTAGCAGAGAATTAAAACAAAACATGCAGCTAAGTAAAGAATAGAAATATAGGTTGTTAGACCTTTAAAATATGCCCCCGTGAGTTCCAAAATGTACATCT